CGCGAAAAATCCTGTTACACTTAAATGTGCATAGGGATTATCTTTGACAGGTATATTAGGGTTCACAGAGCGGCCAAATTATGATAATGAACTCTATCATAACGAGGTTCCAGTTGTGAACATCGGAATGGGGTCATTGTTAACATCGCCAGGCGAATCTGTACTACATGTTGCAGCGTCTTACGAGACCCGGAGTAAGGTACGTATTTTGAGGAGGGCAAAGCTACCATTTTTTTAAAAAGTAATTTCTTTAAATAATCGGTATGTACCTGTTGTGTTGACTTGAACAAAATGCTGACAACAGTAAACAGCTTCACACTGTCCCGAAAATTTAGAAAACAATTACTATTGACAAAAATATCGGACTCTCATGAATAAGTCCTTCATCTTTGATCGACAATAACTGGATATGCAAGCGTAAAAACTTCAATTAAAACATTAATTTTGTTTCTCATTCAGGTAGTATCAGAAGTGTTAAAGCAACTCAACTGGAAATACATTGCAGTACTGTACTCCAATGATGCTACTGGGAGAACCAGGGTGGATATCATGAGAGACATGCTAAGAAGGTATGATCTGTGCGCCACTCTCACAGAAACTGTAGATCCCGGTCTATCAGATCAAGATGGTGATGTTGTCATCAAAAAACTTATCTCCTTCGGAATTACTGGTGTCCTTTACGTTGGATCACAAGACCCTCTTTCCGTTTTATTCAATGCAGCAAATCGGGCTGCCAGAAAGAATGCTAAATTCAATTTTCAGTGGATTCTGGACGATATTATTGATGAAATATCTGCTCTAAGTAATATGCCTTACACCAGGGGCGTTTTGTATATCCGCGATGCTGTTCAGGACATTTATGAGTTTAAAGACCACTGGGCAGGGCTTGATCCCACACGACCACCTGCTGAAAACCCCTTTTTTGCTGAACAATACATGACAGAGGAAACTTGCAGACTGCCTTCAGCATTCCATCAACTATATATTTCTTATATCAGCTGTCCAACCGTGACCAAAGAGGAAAGGCTAAGGCGGTATGCTAAGGATCCTATGCGAGGTTTTGTTAACTTGGCTGTGGATACCGTGTTTACTTATGCAAAGGCATTAAAAGAAGCACAATCAACAAAGTGCCAGACAAGGGGCATGTGCCAAGACTTTATGCGAATGACCCACAAAGAATTTGCCAGTCGATTCTTAAAGACTGTAAATTTCACATACACGATGAACGAAAGAGTACAGTCTCTAGAAAACAGGAAAGTGGCTTTTGATAAAGGATATCTATCGAATCCAGAAGTCGATGTTATAAATATTCAAGTTGATAAGCACGTCAAGGTAATGGTATAGACAACGTACAATTTTTTATGACATAAGATTTATAACATTATTTTTATTACAAACAAAATTCATTTTTTTAATTGAACGGTACAAGTAGAGGCATCCGACAGAGAAATATTTAATGGTTTACGCAAAGTACCTTACAAATGCAGACAGTAATATTCAACATAATGCTGCACTTGACATCTTTTAATATCCGTTTCAAAGATTAGCGTAACTGTCTGTATTTTAATTCTCTTTTCTCTTCCTTGTACACATCTAGGTCGGAGACTACAGAGCGGGTTTACTGTCTTTGAATACATCTCTAATTCGTATGTATGACGCAAGACGCACTGGGAGACTTGCTGAAGTTCCAAAATCACTTTGTCAAGTCTCACACTGCAATTGCATGTCGAATTTTAAATCAAGTGATAATGTTCATAGTCAACAGGGAGATTTAATTATTGGCGGAGTTTTCTCAACTCGACAAAAAGGTTCTACACTGCATACATGCAGAAGCATTGATTCAGTCCAAATGCAGTTAGTTGAAGCATTCAAATATGCCGTGTTGAAGGTAAACAGAGGAGAAGCATCCGTAAGATTGCCACCAGGTATAAGACTCGGTACCACTATATATGACGATTGCGAAGATCCTTATATTACAAAGGCGTCACAGTCGGCGTTGAAATCTTTGGACGCAATTGTGGCTGTTTCACCTAATTTGCCTCATATGGCAGTACACGACACACTAGATGGGTTTAACATTCCATTAATTTCGGCAGATCCTTCTTTGTCACTGCCAAGAGAAGTTGAAATCCAGATACTTCTTCACATCCTTCTGCACAATGATTGGAGGTTCGTTCAGGTGGTGTACTCCGATGACTCCTATGGCAATGCAAGCAGTCGAGAATTTAAAGCAGAAGCGTTAAAGAATGGGATTTGTGTTGTACAGTTGGTGTGTTTTAAGAACGCAAATGCTGCTGAAGCAGCTAGCCTGTTAGACAAATATCCAAACACTAAAGTTGTAATTATACTTCTTTCACGACCTCACATTGTTCGTATGTTCTTATACAGCATGCGGCCCCGTCGTGGTGAATACATATTGATAGGCAACAGTGTGCTTGGCAACTCCAATACTGCCGTCGGGGGTGAAGATATAGTATCGACAGGGACGCTGGCAGTTAACGTTCAATACCCGAACAACACCGATTTCTTTTCACATTTAAACCAATTAACTGCAAAAAGTGGTTCCACCCTGTTGTTCCAAAAATGGTACGAGGCACTCTTCAACTGTACGTTAGATATCAAAGTTAATATTGCATTTCAAAAGTGTATCCAACCTTACTCGACGCCTATCACATCTGCCAGAGGATTCAAACTGGTCCCCCAACATCAGCTTGTTATTGAAACAGTATATTCTGTCGCTGAAGGGTTGGAAAGAACATTGCGGCGTTATTGTCCTGGAAACATTGACAGAATATGTCCTGCATTTAGAAACGCCCCTGACAAAAACCTTGTGGTTGAACGAGAAATAAAAGAAGTATTCCAGAGAAAAGCCATTCCTGCAACTTTTAAAATCTTGCAATTTAAAGGCAAGAATGAAGGATATGAAGAGGTAGGAAATTTTTGTGACAAATACAATAAATAACTGAATCAAAGGCCTAGAGAAAGCACACTAATAAAGGTTAACATAATGTTTTCTCAACCAAAAACATATTAGGCCTATATAAAAAGCGGAATGTTTACCTTAAATACAGTGAACGAGCTGCAGTGATTGTGTGTAGCTAGTTACATTAATTTATGGTGTTTTAAAGTGTTGCCATTACAATGTTTTTATCCCTTCAGGTCGGACAATTTAACGAAGCTACAAAGAAATTACACTTAGATGATGTTGGATTGTCTGGAATATCCTTGTCTAGTTGTCCTGGTGCCTGCTACGTGTGCAACTATGTGTACCAACACCAAGACATGGTCATTATTCCAGGAGACATCTTGATCGCCGGGATATTTAATATTCACGACAAGGGGTCTTCTCCATTCACTTGTGGAGATATTCGCAACGGTCCAGCTAACATACAGGGCGCCAAAGCTGTCCAATATGCAATAGAGACCATAGCAAACGGCACGACTCCTGTGAGTTTAAAGGGCGTGAAACTTGGGGCTGTGATATTGGATGGATGTTCTAGTGCAGCGAGAGCAGGAAACCTTATATCAAGTGCATATACGGGGTTGCTAGGATTGAAGCAATTCAGAGACATTAAAGTTTGGATGGTTGAAGGTGCAGATATGCTGGAAGAAGCTTTGCCCACTTTGAAGGTAATGGGGTTACCTGTTATAACAACAACGACGACGGACAGTCAACTGAACCAGGAGCTTCAATTATATCCTAAGATTTATCGTTCAGTGCCCACGTCTGGTCATCTTGTTACTGGTATTTTGCAGTTTCTCAAAGAAATGGGCTGGAACCGCGTGCAGGTGATCCATTCAACGGACACCTATGGGAAAAATATGGCTGATATATTTGGAAGGTTGGCGGAAAGTGCAGGCGTTTGTGTTCAGCAAACCCATTTTATTAGCAACAAAGAAGAATCTGAAAAACTTTTATCGGTCTTATTATCTTCGTTTGATGCTTCGGTTGTTGTCCTCTTTACTAGTATTGAAGATATCTCGGAAGGCATTCTGACGGCTAAGCAAAAATTGACTAATGACCCTCTTCGGCTGCTTATCTTTCTTGATGACTTCTCTGCCACTTCACGAATTTCACCAAGCTTACTTGAAGGGACGGTATTGTTTCAGATAAAAGAACTCGATCTTGACAATTTCTCAGCTTACCTCAATACACAGAAATTTAATGGTACCCCCAAAAATCCATGGTGGGACGAATATTATGCGAGACTTTTCAAATGCAATCTCCCTGGACAGCACAAATACAATATGTCCTGTCAAAACGATTCTTCCTTGAGAGTGACAGATGCTCCTGATTATGTACATCAGCCATTCATATGGGGTACCATTCAGGCAGTGTACGCATTTGCACAGGCACTGGATTCTTTGCTAAATGAACGTTGTGGAGCAGATAACGACGGACTTTGTGGCGCTTTCACTACTGATCACAATATCACAGCGGCGCTTGCTGCCAAATTAAATGGTGTTTCAATGGATGACGGGTTTGGTAAAGTCTTCAAATTTACCTCAGAAAATGGAACGGTAAATTACATGGTGCACCGATATAGCAATGATGTAATTGAACAGGTACTTTTACCGAAACTCTTATTTATTTTGATATAGTATAGATTTTAATTACATAATGTGAAATGTATATCTGCTCTTGATTCATGCCATCAACCCCATAATAGACAAATTTATATCTTTTTTTCCAGATTGGTACATATCGAACATTCCAACGCTCCCTTACTCTTACCAACCCGACCCTTAAGGACTATTATGGTTCAGTTAGTGCTAGGTGTGATGGACTGTGCTCACAAACTTGTTTCGCAAAAATGAAAACCGCTGCAAAAATAACCAAAGATAAACAAGGGTTCGTTGACGGCGATGTAATTTTTGCTGGTGTGTTGTAGTTTTATTCTTATCTTTATGATTAAGTTATATAAGCAATGGTTATAAGCAGTATTTTGATTCATTTATAAATAATTTGCTGCATATGACTTCTTGCGAACACTGAAACCAAAGGTTGGCCTAAGTGCGTAAGTCACTGTATTATCGTGCTTTTTTATATAGCGCTAACTGATTCATATGCCGTTATTGTTTCCTACACAACTTAAATACACCAATTAAAAGGTTTATCTCGATTTTTAAGGTATCTTTGACGTACACCAAAAGAGCTTACAACCCTTAGCCTGCGGCCCTTTGAGAGATCAAAATGGGTTCCAGCTAACAGAAGCATTTCTTTATGCTCTGAACCTTGTAAACACTCACAGGGGACAATTTCAAGATATATTGCGTGGGGTCAAACTGGGTGGCATCTTATTAGATTCCTGCGAAAGTCCTGCACGGGCCGCGACGCTCGTCGATAATATTCAAAGCGGAAGAGTGAGTTTAAGTAATTCTACTGTTTCAAAATTCATTGCCGCTTACATTGCCGGCCCAACCAGTGCAAGCAGTCGAACAGTGGCAGAGGTTTTGAAACCGTATGGTGTGCCTCTTCTGAGCTACGCGGCAACCAGCACCGATCTGAAGAATCAGTTGAAATACCCCACCTTTCTCCGCACTGTTCCCAGTGATGGCAAACAGGCAAGGGCAATTCTGGCAGTGTTGAAAAGGTTCAACATAGAGTACGTGCAACTGGTAACTTCATCAGGACCCTACGGTGATCCAATGGCGAAGGACTTGCTGGAGCTTGCAGGAGAAAGCGGCGTCTGCATCGCCCAACATCTTGTTCTCCGGGTAACTAAAACAGTGTCGGTTAAAGTTGCTGCCAATAGCACTTTACATGCTCTCTTGAAGAAACCTCCACGAGTTGCAGTACTGGCGTTAGAACGGGAACATGTGCGTGAATTATTACTCGCCTTCAATAGTAGTACCAATGCTAAAAAACAAAAATTTCTGTTTATTGGGACTGATACATGGCAGAGGGATCTTTCCGTTGTTGCCGGTCTTGAAGATATAGCAGAGGGAGCGCTTACTCTTGGCCTTGAAACTATAGACGTTCAGGATTACGACACTTCACTCTTCTTAAAACATCCAAATAACTACTTCTCTAACCCCTGGTTCGAGGAATATTACCAATGGCTTCACCAATGTTCATTGCAAGGAGATGGGGTGTTTAACAAACTGTGTCCATTGCAAACATCACAAATACCGCCTACCAAGTACAAACAGGACAAACTTGTATTTTACACCATTGCAGCCGTCCATGCCATGGCACATGGTCTTCATTCGGTCCTGTTGGATACCTGTGGAGCACAGTACTATGGGCTTTGCAGCAACTTCACAAAATCAGGGGATAAATATCAACAGCTTCTGAAGTCTACAAAACTTGCCAACTTCACGGATATCACCGGACGTCCCTTCGAGTTCCAAGATGGAGAAAGCGTCCGTGGGTATGACTTGTTCAGATTTGGTCGAGAAGCGCTTGGAGGATATCTTTACAGCACGGTAGGAATTTGATTTTGTTGTTGTATTTAAATTATGAAAATAACAAGTTTATTTAAAATCATAACAACCTAGAGGTAGAAGTTTTGCAGATATATACTTTCAAATAAAAAAAAACCTACATGTATTTATATGAAGATCAAATTAAGCTCAAAATAAATACAGACTTGAAAGAGTTGTATTATTAAATGGGTTTAATTTTTGGTTTTTGAAGTTGGATTGGTTGTTATATGTTAACCTTCCGTAAGATCTGGTGGTTAAACATAATTCAGCTTATCCTTGTCGTTCCTAATTTCTGAAAAAGGACTTGCATAGTTGTATGCGTCGGTTTTCTAAAGTGACAAGGTTTGCTTTTACCCGGGCATCAACCTAAGGTGAATCAGAAAATATAATTTATATTGCCTTAGATTGGATATATTATATTATATTAGTACAGACTTGACATTGAATNTATTATATTATATTATATTATATTGCACTGATCACTGGTTAACCCAGGGTGCAACAAAAGACAAGTAAATTCAACAACAGAGCGAATTAATCTTGATACAACTGCGCAAGAACTGATGAGGATGGTTTAGCACTTTTTTTAAAGTTTGCAAAGATAATGGAACCGTGTACATATGTAGTCAACATGTTCATACCTTTTAAGGTTGTTAGTAAACAGTATTAAAGCCCAAATATTTGAAATTATATTCATGTACTTTGCAGGCACGCAACAACAGTATGAAATATAATGAAACGCTACCAAGTCCATACAGGGATTTTGAGAAGTCATCGTTTCTTTTTTTTTCTTTTTTTAAATAAGCGATGATAACTTTGATACACATACCATTACGAGCCCAGACGATATTTTCTGTGTGCCTTTCAAACTGTTGACAGAAACACGCGACAACATCATAAAATGTCATGAAACACTTACTTAAAGTTCACATAGGTATTTTGAGAAGTCATCGTTTCATTTTTTTCTTTTTTTTTCAGATAGGGGATTATTACTATGAAACACTAACCATTACCAGCCCAGACGACAATTTCGATGTGCCTTATTCAAACTGTTCACACAAACACTCTTGTAGAGAGTGCCCAACCCTGGGGCCCAAGAAAACAAGAATAATGATATCGGACAAACAGACAATAAAGGAGACTTCGAAAATGTATGTGGTTGCCGTTATGGACGTGCATCAACGTGGTCGAAACCAATTTGAATGCGGACCTCTCAATGTGCAAAGTTATTACCAGCTGTATGCTTTACAGATTGCGTTAAGGAAGGGAAATGCCGACAGCCTTGGATTGTTCGTAATAGATGCTTGCTCGCATAGCATTCGTGCAGTAAACGATATTTACAGTTTTCAAGGTGGCTGCGGCATCATCGGTGAGACAGCTCCGATCGATCTGAAAGTCAGGCCCGAGATGACTATGGCCTACGTCATCATGGGACCAGACAACGTTGATGCTGCCAGGGCTTTTTTAACTTCGCAAGAAATCCCTATAGTTTTACCCTCGGTTGCTCCTGCTGTCCCAAATAAATATGTGTTCAGCACCATGCCTTCTGATTTTAACAAAGCACAATTGCTTATTTCCATTTTACAATCATTAGAATGGACCCACGTTATGGTGGTCAGTTCTAGCAGTGATCGCAGTCAGGCGGCAACCACTGCCTTTTTTAACGCAGTCAAAAATAAGACCAATATTTGTATTGGGAAACAGATCATTATGGGAGAAAATGCCACTGAGGACGACGCGCGAGATTTTGTTAATAATCTTAACAGTACAAGTGATGCTCGGGTCGTGGTATATTTTACTGACGTTAAGCATACAGAGCTCCTTTGGTCTGGATCAGACTTATCTCAATTAGTGTGGATTGGCTTTTCCCATGGTGAAAACGAGGCAAAGGAAAACAGCGATCGCGTTTCAGGATCCATTACAATTTCACCACAAACATTAGACATGCGAGATATCTCAAATACCCTAGTGGGATCACGTCCAGATATCACAAATGATATACCTCCAGACTGGTTTGAAGAGTTTTGGCAATTAATAAATGGCTGCAAAATTTCAAGTAGCAAGTTTGTACAAAAACAATTCACTCGCGAATGTGGAGACAGTGAGCAGATTTCATCAAATGAAATACGCATGGACCCCTCTGTAAGCCACACCTTTTTAGCAGGCAGTATCTTGCGAGAGGCGGCTTTGACATCTGAATGTATTCCTGGAGACCGCAATTGCTTTACAAAGGCTCTTCATACAACTTTCGTGCAAGTACCTGATGCGACAACGAAGTTTTCCTTTAATAATACTTTAGGATTCGAAATCCGAAATTTCCAAAGCAAGTCCAAAGTGCATGTGAAGGTAGGAAGGAATAAATCGCAAAATCGGTATGTTAGCCTACATTTAAAAATCGATGATAGTATATATGAAGAGACCAACCCATAAAACAGCAGAGTTGACAACTTTGAAACTGAGTTATAAGGTACTGAAAAGATTGGAAAATACGTGAAAAGATAACAGTAAAAGATCAACAGTAAGAGCTATGCCACTAACAAAATTGTCATGACAGTTAAGTAACTGATTAGTTTATTAATGGGCATGCCTTGGCGGAGATCTGCGCTCTCTGAGTGCTTTTTTAGTTTTTTTTTCTGTTTTAGATTGGGTCATGGGATACAGGCGCGATGCACCTTAGCATTGACGTACGTAAATACCAAGGGCCAATTGCCAAAGGCGGATCGAACTGTACTTCGGAGAACTGCCCTTGTTTAAAGAACCCAGTGGTCACTTTTAATCAGTCCGTTACCGTTGCAACTCCTTCACAAAATGAATACATTACAACCTTACCGGCGGTAGACTCCCGCTTCGTCAGTGCTATAGGAATCATTGTTTCAATGTTCATAGGAATCGGTGTCCTCCTGACATTGGTGCTCTTCGTGGTCTTCTGTGTTGCTTATCCGAACTACAAAAACATCGGGACCACGTTACTTGGGTACTACGGACTGTTTGGAGTGTTAGTCATATTTCTTCACACTTTGGCCTTCATATATTATCCATCATCTACCGTGTGTGGCTTCAGGCGATTCTTACTGGGTTATTCTTATGCGATTTGTTTCTCAGCATTTCTTATCAAAGTTTTAGATATATGGAGAATCGGAAAGTATGGCGACGCAAAATACAAACGAGTGACAAGTCCCTGCAGCTTATTCTTTGTTGCAATTGGTTTGACACTTGTCCAAGGCATCATCGTGACCATGTGGCTGGTTCAAGATCCTCCGAAATCGGGAGAGATAATATATGACGGCGGTAGGTGGCACTGGTGTACCAGTACTGACTCTCACAACGTTGACCTAGTGATGTCGTGCATCTACGTCATGGCTCTAATACTCATGACCGCCATTTTTGGGGTTGCCACATGGAAGCTTGAAGTAAACAACAGAGAATCGCGCTGGATTTGCATAGCAGCCTTTCTCACCATCGGATGTTGGGTAATATGGACCGTCGTTTCCACTCTGGCCGAGCACAAGTACAGAGACGGTGCGATCGCTATCTGCAACCTTGTGAATGGATATGTCATTCTGGCCACTGTCTACTTTAGAAAGCTGTGGTTGATGGCCATGCACAAGAAGGAAAAGAGAGAACTGGCTGAAGAACACAGATCCGTGAGTATGAACGGAAGCTCCGAAGGTGAGATGTCAAAATTACATGAATATTATTGACATTAAAATAAAGTATAATATGAATAGATACAATAGAAATATATTCCATCTGCAATAGGAGTGTAAGGATGATCTGAAATATCAGCAGCATGGTATAATAACACTGCCATTGTTTTGGAATTATTTAATATTTTTCTGATTTAGAATTTATTGTACTGTAATGATAAAACTTCCTCCAGAGGAGTGACCATGCTATGACCTGTCTCTATCGTAGTCTAGTTCTTTCATACAGATGGGTTAGTTTTTTAACAAGGCCTCCTCTCTCATTCTATTGAAACTAGTTTACCTTTTCACTAAAGAAAAGGTAAGCCAACACATCCTGTAAAAATTTGATAATATTTCATGTGATTATCTAGGTGAGCCAATAGAAATGTATTCCACCTATCCAACGACGACGCGAACAGGTGAAGTGTTCGCGCCAGGATCCACCACTCGCTCGTTAGATGACCCTGCGTATGTGTATGCTGTCAAACCTGCCAGACGTATGTAATGTACAAACCAGCAAAGTTCAAAAACTTGACTCTGAGTATTTATACGTCTTTCATGGAGGTTTCATAAGCAAGGAAAACAAATAGGTGAAAAATTAGAAGGACTAGAGGGACCTAACGCATCTTAATTATTTTAGATGAGAAAACAATATTTATAAAGAGCGCTAATCTTTGTATCACTTCTAGACTAGTTGCTCGCCACTTAATTTCTCTTAATAGTTGCATATTATGGAAAACTATTTAATTTTCGTGTTTTTTATTATGGCGAAAAACCATGACAGAATCAATGAACAACAACAACAAAACGAAATTGAATGAAGACGTTCTTTTCATTAATAAAATGATGTAAATACATTTCTAATGATTAACATGGTAAATAAGGAAATATATGTGTAACAATGTTGATATTTAATGGAAATATACAACTGTTTCTTTCTACTGGCAGTACTATGGCTGGTTTACACTTCATGCTCTTGGGGCACTCTTGTTTACAACTTCAACCAATAAAGGATTAAATGTTTAACGTGGATTACAACTCATTCTATTATATGTATACTATATACTATACTTATGACTATGGAAATAACCACTTTTGGCAATTTAAGGATTCAAAATTGCTTACTATAGACCGTTCGGAGGAATATCATCATTAGTGCAGCACTCTAAAAACTTTTTCCCTCGTACTAAAAGTTCTTGAAATGCTTTCATATAACCTTTTGCTTGGCTTATAATGTCTTTTCTAACAAAATTACACAAAGCGGTCTGTAAGACGAATCTCGCAAAGATGATTTTAAATTACAACTACATGAGGTTGCAGTCATGAGTTTTTAAACTTCGTTGTGAACTCCAGGAATTCCGTCGTTCTTTTGCAGCAACTCCTACTCCTTAAGCACTCCTTAAGTTTTACACGCCATAACAATTGAATACATAACTTTGTTAGCTTTTTAAATGAAAAAAAGATTAGTTGGGATTCCACTTAGACTAAAGACCCTAACTTACATACTTTCCACTGTACATTTTCTTTATACAACGTGAATAAATAAGTTAAATATTTACGATATGAAGTAACCCATCAGGTTATTTACCTAGTTCACAATATGCTGTGTAATTTGACTCAAGACACTTAAATGTTAACTTTAAATATAAAATATATAAGCACTTGTTAAATTATAATCTTCAAGTAAGAATGTTGAAATAACATTAAAGAAACAGAATTTTAAAGCTGTTGTTACTATGGTGACAATAGTGTACTGAGAAACTTGATACAAAGTAAGTCAACCTGGAATTGCATTAAACTGAAAGAAAAGATATCGAAAAGAGTCTTTTTGGTGAAACCTTACACATGTCAGTTCTAAGATAAACTTATGTGTGACATGAAACGTAAAGGTGCTTTCACGTTTGAAAGGTTCTTCTGAGCGGTGGTAAAACGTGACTCCCACATTCCTTTGATAAAAGTTCTTAACGCAATCTTTCTTTCGGAGCCTCTCTTATATTTTCTTAATTTAAAATAAAACATGAGGAATACTGTCAGATCTAGGTATGGCACTTGTTTATGATTAAATATTCTAATTGTAACATCCGTTTCCGGCATTTTGAAACTTCACTACAGTGGTCCCAGGTCTTGATACGATTTGGCCTCTGAAACAGAAAAGTCATAATGTTATTGTAATCTTAATGTCACTAGCTGAATTTGATTATTATAGGTTCAATCAATCCTGAAATGCAAACTATGACCTTTTTTATACTTAAGCAAAAACACATTTTAATTCAAATTAAACTTTTTCGCAAAAAAAAAACAAAAAAAAAAAAAACATTCTTTCATTTACACGTACTTTTCATATTGTGCTTGGCCTTGTTCGTTGATGTAGGGTAGGCGTATTCAGATGATGGTTTACTTCTAGCATCCAAAGTATGGCTTCTTGCAGCGTAGTCTACTGGTGTACCTGGTCTGTATGGTCTACCATAACTGTAGACGGAGCCACCTCCGCCTCTCTGTGACTTTAATGTACCCGGTGTACCATATATGACATTTGGTGGCGCACTTCTCATGGTGTTACTCTCGTAAACGGACCCTGGATGTCGCAGAACTAAGCCATCTGAAAAGATCATATACTCACATATTGGAACACTGTTTTCATAAAAACTATTTTTTTCAATATCTTCTAAGATCACGGTTGAATAATACATGTATTCGTACTGCTGTAAAGTATTTTAAGTTTACTCAGTATCTAAGTGTTCACGATTTTCAGTAAAAAACTGTTTCTTGCTCTAAAATTACTATTATATTAGACTGAATAGATTATTTCATTTATAGGGGCCTTAAATAAATTTTAAAAAAGTATCTCTTACGTGGATCATTGACGCTGTGCACAGATCTAGACAGGGTGGGAACGTCCGTGTACAGGCCGTTATCGTGTGGCGGTTGTTTGGAAGGGAGTGTACCATTGACTCCTCCAGCATATGCCCCATTGTTAACATACACCACAGAGCCTGGTGCTTTATACACGCTGCCTGTCATTACACTACCACGATCCCACTCGTCCTCTGCCTTAAGGAATTTGTCAATGGTCATACTCTTTAAACGTTTTACTTTCGGCAAGAACATGACAAGGAGGATTAACGTCGCTGTGCACCAAAGTCCAAACGCAGTTGCGGGGTCCCAATAGTCGGAAAAGTCTTCCCGTGAATGTGGAGAAAGGTGACCGATCAATGTCCATGCAATCCATAAGGCAGCAGTGGCACCAGCTGCAATTCCAATTAGGATATTCTCTCTGTGATTTGATTTAACTCTGTAGGATCTTACAGCCAGAATTATACAGAGGAGAATCAGGAACATTACGTAGACAAGCGATAAGACGTGGCTACTAAAATGTAAATGTCTGCAATACCATGTTTGTCCCGTGACCCAAACTCCTTGGGCTGGTTCTACTATTAACCACGTCGAGTCAATTCCAACCTGGACAAGGAGAATGAATAGGAAAAGCAGTATTTGGAACACACCATGAAGATAACCAGTCTTCTTTGATTGGAAAATATTCATAAGCTTCACAATCAGCACACCAAACATAAAGGCGTAGCAAAATCCAATACCAAATCGAATGATGCCACACGTTGCCGTGGTCTGATACGGTACGTAGGCGAAAAGAACCAGGTAGCTGAGAAATATACCAAACAAAAGGAGCTGCCCCAGCCACAACACTTTCCACTTTGAGAATGGGGTACCAGACACCTTTACAATAATGTAGACCTCAAATACAATGATCAGGAGAATACCAAGACTTGACAGCACAAGAATTGCGATAACCCAAGAGTCTTGTTTCCGTATTCCTGACGGGGCCTTTTGCTGCTGTGGGGCGGCGGTTGGTTGAGTCTGACCGCCGTTACCACCGCTAGTTGTCCGCAACGTAGTGGACGTAGTAGACGCGGTGGTAGCACTTGAAGATTGCTCTGCAGAGATGGTGGTGGTAGTGATGGGAGAAGTAACGGCTTCACACACTTGACATGTTGGACAAGTAGAACTGCCCATATTTGGAGGTTGGGACAATGGTGTTCCCTTCACATATGTTTCTATCTGGAAAAAATACCAATAGTTTTTAAAAAATTGCGCAAGTGCCTATAAAAAAGTGTCCTTTTTCCGCTATGTACATACAATGATTATAAGGAGCCACACTGTTGTCGTAATTCACTTTATTATTATTTAAGTACTCAACATTTATGGTGCAAACGACTTTTTAAAATCGGGGCGACATAAACTGAATATTGGAGGCAGGAAGATACAGAAATATGAACAATCAGTGTCCAAACTATTAATTCAATCATTTTCATTTCTTTAATTGCTTGCCTGCCAAGCGACTTAATGAAGCCTTAATTTTCAAATAGTTTTGAAAAAGTCAATAGAAAAAAGGGACATGACCAATTAGTCCCCCTTACTTTAGGTATATCTATTTTAGGTATGTCTTAGTCTTTAAATGGATTGATTAATGTAAGCACCACACTGTTAAATGCAGTATTATAAATCTGTATGCACTAAATAACCGTTTACAAAATTCAGACATCATGAACATAACCGCCCCTTTAAGGAAACCGCCAATTATCTTTTTTTATCATAAAATACGAATATGGTTGCATTAAAGGTACCCACTTACCAATTCATACTGGTTGCGATTTGCACTAAACTTATTAATGGCAAAATTCACAACTGCTGCGTCTCCGTTCCCCTGGAAAGAGACCCCAGGGAGTGAAATTTTAAGGATTTCTGCATAAATTTTGTCTAGCTGGGCGTCACTGTTTGAGAACTCGGTGCAAATTTGGTTGACGTTTGGACACATGGCACTCCGGGCATTCTCTATACCATGAAGAGCGACGTCAACTGCTTGAATGACGTACGCAGTGGATAAATCAATCTCAGAACTATCCAAATTATTGGTGTTAGGCTCACAAGGAACCCTCCTGTTCGTTGAGCCTGGCAGATCGCAGGCAAATTTTTCCTCCCAGAATGACGCAAAAATTGGGTTTTGAGTTGTGAGGTTTGTTGTTGGTCTGAGAGCGCGGTAGTAGTCACGGAACGCATTGAAGAAATCCATGTTACCGGGCACTAACGATAATGTTACGGCCCCGTCAGCTGCCTCCTCTACGCCCTTGACTACTTGCATGAGTGTACTCCATGACGTAGTGGACATAAATGTAAATTCCCTTTCCGCACCCCTTCTTTTTATTGCTTGTAACACATTTCTAGCCTCCACGTGAGTTCCGAAGATGATGACTCCTTTGGTGTTTGGAAACGCACTGAGTTTGTCAACAACGCCGTCCATAACTGCATTGTTTACAACGAGTGGTAATTTAATCTCCTGCGCAACGCACAGACCATTTTCGACGGCCATCTTTTTAAAATTTTCTTTTCCCGCGGTTCCATCTTCGTCTGCCCGGTACACTACTTGCACAGCCTCCCAGTTTGACTGCGCATTGATAATCTCGATAAGAACTTGGGATTGCTCACTGTCTGATGGCTGCGTGCGGAGAAACGTTTTAAACACATTTGTGTCGCTTAATGTGGGGCTGTTTGCAGAATGACTTATAACAGTCTTTTTCATATGACCTAATATTCTGCCGGCTTCCAAAGCCTGGCTACTTCGTGCTGGTCCAATATAAGCTAAGATATTGGAAGGCTTCACTGGTGGATCAGCACCATATGCCAAATCACAGCGTTCCAAATTGAATAGGTACTGAACAGCCTGGTGGGGCCGCGTACAAAAGTCAAACGCCAGTCCCCCAACATCCACACCTTCGAATAATTTCGTCTCATTGTATCGCTGACGAAATGTCTCCAGCGCCCAGAAAAATGCCTGCATGTTTTGTATGCCCTTTTCTCGGAGTGCTCCACATTTGTATGGGTTGGGGTCGATCTCGTGCACATCGAACATACCGGCCAAATAGAAGTGATTTAGAGGCTGGTCTTTGTTTGCCACTAAATGGGCGTAGGGCTGCTGTGAGGCACAGCTCTGTGACGGATCACATTCTTGGCTGTAGGCTAATGTGAGGACGGCTCCAAGATATGCAACTGTTACAATCATTATGTTCATCTGAAAGTGGATAAACATGACTATTATAACTTATTTAAAAACTAAATTAATCTGTGTTACATACGATGTATTTTGTAATGATAATAATGATAATGTAGTCTTACATGGCGCTTTACAGATTAAGAGATAAAGTGACAATTGAATTAGATGTAAAAATGACAAATTAAAAGTAAAAAATAAAAATTACAAATATCTTAAGAATTTTTTAAATTACGAGTCTCAGAGTTGCTTATGCTAAATAAGAAAAAAATGGAAAATTAAAAAAATAAAATGTCGCTTTATCAATCACTACAACTGATTAAAAATGTAGGTTTTTAAAAGTCAATATTTTCAATTATTTTAGTATATATATATTTTTTTCTTTTTTTTTTTTTAATTTCACCTTAAACTCTATCACATCGATACAGGAATGTTACTGTTAGCTTTCTCTTACAATTATGAGAACAGTAATTTAATGATGACACAATAATGTCATAATTACAATTATGGGTACAGTCTTTTGATGATGAGACAACAATGCCATATTAACAAAAGTTATAATGCTCAGAAGGGTTAGACGACGTTGTCTCTATATAAGGATATAATTTCAAGTAAATAGAAAATATGAATCAATATAAGTGAACTGTACGTTTTCTTTTTAATTTTCAAAGATCTCTGTCAAAATTTATTACAAAGAAAAGCACTTACATCTACCGCGCTAATGAATTTTAAAAGAATACTAGATTTTATTGCCAATGTTAAGAATATAACTTCTTTGTGCAAAGTTGTCCAAAAACAAAAACATTGTTCTTTTAAACTACCTCTCAAATAAGGAGCAGCGAGAGGAAGATGCCACAGGAGGGACTTTTAACAGTTACAAGTGACAAAATACAACAATCCTAAAAAGGTCTAACAACCATGATGCCACGCATTAGGGCACATAACGCAGTTGTGCTAATGTCACGGATGAAAAACATCCTGACATTTTTTGATCAGACAGGTGGGGAGATTACAGTCAGTCGGTCCATCTTAATATCAGACGGCATGTTCAAGTTTGGTGATATTAAAAGAGAAATCTGATGTGAATCACCCGCTATTAATGGTAATGTACTGTGTCCCAGTGGAGAAACCCTTAAGTATTGTGTATACCTCGAAAAAAAAAGGATAGCTAGTTTCTGTTAAATAAAAGTGATTTGGGTTCACCGCAAACATATTTTCTATTGTAGCACTTGAATTTACGTAGCACCTAAATCAGTCCACTACTGAATTCAAAAGATATAAAACCACAAGCAAAAGGAAGGCATCCATCAAACTGCGTAAATGTGATCTTAGAACCAAACAATTAATATTTCATACCTCTGTTGAATATTCTACACAAATATCTCAAACAACTATCTTCAAAAACTCGACTGCATCAACTTACCGCACTTTGCCTACGGCCATTTGACATTACCTCCGGCCAATGCCTAAATCTAAATCCAACTTGTTATTAACCTCATATAATTTCGATCCACCCTGGGCATAGCGCTTATCTTCTTACAACTTACCGTGATTGCTGATAGCTTTACTTTGAGCTAAATAGAAATTATGTACTTTATATATACATATAGAGAGAGAGGCCTAAATATATTGGTTTACACACGTCCCACAAGCAAGTAATGCGTCACTTGTAAGCAATGATATAGTGTAAACATTATCCAGGTTATGTTTTCTTATTGGACCCGTGTTGCAACCTGTGTCTGTTCCACCCTCATCAATCTACCTCGTGAACCCAGCCTTCTCTCCCCGTCAACATATCATCTACGTCACTTACTCAAATGTCTTTTGGGGTTTAGGGCCAGGTAGTTCTTAAAATAAACGTGTGATTCTCACTCATTAGAAGACTCATCAATTTTTTTTGTCCATGAATCACACTTGAAAGACCCGTCACTGGATTAAGATGAATAGACAGTATAATGCAACATGTACATAATTTCAATTTAAGCTAATTGTTATTTCTTCAAGTCTACCCAAAGTGAGCGCACATAAAAAGATAGAGGTCTTTTAAAGGTCCCTTTAAAGAGAAAAGAAATAAAGAAAATGGTGTCAATGTAATATCCAAAGTTACGCCCATAATGAGATATGTATATTTTTAGTGGATAACATGGCGAATGTTTCGATTTTTTTCCACAGTCACTGACATACTCACCGAGTCATTTCATGATAATGTAAAATGATAAGGACGTGTATATTTACTATTAGTCTCTGAATTTATAATCAATTCAGTAAATGCAGTGACATTATTGCTGCATTAAGCCCGGTGTTGATGCAATGTACAGACGTAGACTTCAAACGCAAGGGTGGGTCCTCCAAATTGACAGATTTACTTTTTATATAAATATGGAATAGCTTTTAGACATATGGAACTTTCAAATATTTTTAATATCTCATTAATTATCTTGCAGCTAAATGTGACTTGTGAAGGTTTGTTGAAGGTCGTGCGAAATACCAGTGGCATGTAATCGAGTTTAGAAAATAAAGCGTCGAAAAGTTGGTCAGAAACGCCGTATTAATTAGTAGAATTGTACACAACATATAATGAATTGAGTGAACTGGATTTCACATTGTGCCCGATATAAGTTGAGATTTGACCACTAGCGGATGGTCTGATTATCAGGTGTAACGTTTACATGTATGATCATCTTGTAAGAGGGTGATTAATACGACCTCGGGTAACAGTAGGGAAATAATCAGTTATTAGGTGTTGAAAATGATGCCTTGTAATTGACTTTCTGCACCTCATTTGTATTATATATAGAGTAATAGACACACAGGTCGCTTCCCTGCCATTATGCAAGTTCATACCATTATCGTCAGCAAGTCAGGATATTTTACCGGTGAATGGAAATATTTTCCGAATAAAATTTTACAAGTAAAGACATCCACGCGCGCGCGCACACACACGCATAGAAAGAGGGGGGGGGGGGGAGGCGGTGGTGGTGTAATTATACACCAAAATGATATGAAGAATACATGTATGCATAAGGGGCTGCGATATTTATCAATTTTTATAACTAAACAAAGCATAAATACCATGTATGTTAGTCCAGTCGTAAAGATATTTAAAAAAAATCACCAATTAAAAAACCGTCTTCCTCAGTGGACCGACACGAGATAAGCAGTGTCTTTGTTATGATAATGGTAAAACATTCATCAATACACATCACGTTGTGCAGTTTCCCGAGGTGGAAAAAGTTTCACAATATTCTTTAAGAGAAAAAGGGAGCTTTTTTCTTCCTCATTCTATACCTAGATGAAAGGTGATCTCTATTTTAACATGCTGTAGACGTACAAAAACGTCTGCCTGATAAAGCGCAGTTGATATTGACAAAAAGTTGGAGGATACATATTCAGTCTCCGCCCTAAAAGAAAACTAGTTCTTGTCTTACTATTAGCCCCCTTGGTCGCCCATTACCGGTGCATGTTCAAGCCACCTGCTATAACACCACTCAATACAGGAACTTGCCAAATATGTACAATAAAAACTAACATGACAGCAAGTTAAATTGTGTGTCAAAAATGACATGGGCTATTTTGAAATATAGTCTCGCATGGTAGTTCCATGCAATACCTGATTTTTTTAATTACAAGTTCGCAGGCGGGCTAAGGTCATGCTTGTGTTACAATAATAGTAATATACACAATAAAAGACTCACCTTTCCTAATGACCCAATATTCCATTTAAAACAACGGGTGTTTTAACATTAAAATGCATCAGAAGTTCACAGGCCCCAACCATACCAACAATACCCTGGTGTAAGGGAGAACTGCAATTCCCCTACATTAAACACCTGCCCTCAAATAGCACGTACACTTTTAACTTCAACAAAACACTTAAAGACCCGTAACTTTAACTTAAGAGTTTTGACCCCTATATAAAGAACAAAAATTGTAGTGAAGTGCCTACCTCGTCGTCTTTGTGTACAGTGCGCTGCTCCTAAAATCTAAGTGGCTGTCCTGAGTAAAAGCATGTGTGTCGAGCCATCAGACTTCACCAGGTGTGCAAAGTGGGTCGGGTCGGCAGTAGCGCTCAGAAACCATCCTTTAACACTCCCAGTTGTCACAGGAGGCCGGATACCAGTGAGGATAATGCATACAACCCGTTACCATACATGGGTAATTATTACCTGCAGTCAACCGTGGGATATCTCAACATTCCTTTAAAAGAGCGAAACAATTTACATCCCAAAACTTGCCCGACCTGTTTTTAAACTACATTAACTCATGCTAAATGCCATTACACTTAATGCAGGATTGCGCCAATTGTCGCGTAGTATATACCTGTCCAAAAGGTAAACAGGAGCTGGCATTCTCATATTTCACATAGATGAATTCCCCCAAGGGTCATTGCTGTGTTAGTTGAGACATCATATTGATGCTTTTTCTTCTGTGACATTCAAGCGTAAAAATCATGATCAGCGACAGCAAATAACGCTTAATTTTAGCCCCGTTTCCAAAGCATTAGAGAAAATATTGTACACATTTGATTATTTGAGAATGGAGTGGAACTCAGGATGACTTTCATTTAAAACAACAGGCATTGAGATTAAGATGTAGTTAAAATAAAGCTTTTTTCATTTGAAATAGTGAAAACATGAAACTATATCATAGTATAGCAGAAGTTCTTTCTTTTATTTCCGGACATATCTTAATATTTGTAATATATAATTTTTTGCCATATCAAAAATAGGTTGGACTGCAGTCTTACAATGTGATGGGTTAATACAATGTGAAAGTACATAAAAATGTTACACATTTGAACATGTACGTACTGAACTCAGGCCTGTAGCCAGGGGGGGTTCGGGCGGTTCGAAAGAGCCGCCCCTTTTGTTGGGAAAAGGTCCACTCTGGGTAAAATTTGATCTAGGTACATAAAGTTTTGATGGGAAAAGGTCCACTTTTTCAGAAAAAGAACCCCCCTTTTGAAATTGCTGGCTACGGGCCTGGAACTTGTATGTGTTTATTTCACCATAACCAGATGACTATCTGCAGCTGCAGCAATCCAAAATTTGTAAATTAAAAAAAAAAATTATGTTAAACATTTCTGCACATTAGCAATAAAATTCAAATACATATCTGGTTTTGTAGGGAGTGTAGATCAAGCATCAAGGCATGTACACATTACTCTATTGAGCATCTGATCACAAATTCTGTGAATTAATGTATACTGAATATGCATTATTAAGCTGAGATGTCCAAGTAGACCCTAAAATCCCGAACCATATCAAATGGAATATAACTGATAAAATTCAAATATTCTCATTAAAACAAGGCAGCAAAGCTGTCAAATGTACAGACAAAAAACAGAAAATAAAGATGCAAAAAAGGTAATTTTCTCAATTTTGATGCAATGATAAATAATGCTTATAATAGCACTGTCAGTCACCACTGAATTTTAATCATGCACAACAGGTAACATGTCAATAACAGGAGCGAACCCAGAGATATTTTCTGACAGTATTCGAAAGTATCTTTTTTTGATCAATCCTCCATTTTGATGGTCTTCCAACAGAAAAAAATAGATACCAGTCAATATAAACTTAATAACCTGACTGTCTTCCGGAAGACCCAAAAGATGGTCTCAATCCACCCCTTCAATAGGACTACAGTTTCAGGACCATGAAAGTTCAAATTCACATGATGAAAGTCTCAATATTTGAATAAATATGTAAAAAATAGGTCATTTTGTCAATTTTGATGCAATAATAAATAATACTGTCAATCAACACTGAATTTTAATCATGAACAACAGATAACATGGTCAAAAACAGGAGTGAACAGGAGAGATATTTTCTGACAGTATTCCAAATTATCTTTGTTGATCCATCCTCCATTTTTGATGGTATTCCAACAGAAAAAATAGATACCCGTCAATGTAAACATTAAAATCTGACCATCTCCCAGAAGGCCCAGAAGACAGTCTCATTCAGCCCCTGCAATAAGATTACAGTTTCAAGACCACAAGAGTTCAAATTCACATAATGGAAATCACAATATGTGAAAAATGATAACAGTGTATAAAATAATATTACATAATGTTTAAAGACATAAAAAAAACCAATACAATTGCTCATGTGGAAACAAAGAAAATGCACAGCACTTCTGGTCGATGGGAGTTAAAAATCACATTTTGAAGATGCTGGTGTTTGAAAAATAATTAAAAAATTTTTTTTAATAAAATGTAAAAAATTCCAATAAAACTGCTATTCAAACTTTTTATCTAGCTGTATTAACTTGATATGAATAACCCCACCAAGTTTGAGAAAAATAAGGCACTGTTATTCATCTATAGCATGTTGGCATAACACATTTTTTGTTGTAAACTTATTTGCAATATTAAACACCATTTATCTGCATAATTATCACCAAATCCTAATTAAATGTGACACAGTTAAGAGAGCTAAACCTACGGGACTTCACAGGGAAATCTCAAAGAGTGTTTTATGTAATCTCATTTAATGGCCAATTGAAAATTAATGAGTAGGCAAGTGACTTTATAGACCTTAATTTAATTAGTGATCACCCAAGGGACAATTTTATAGACTAGACTGCCATGCATACAGTACCATTATATAGCACAAAGGTGTTGCATACATGCTGAAAAAAGTGAAAAAACAGCATTACTTCTCTAAAAATGACCCGATCATGCTGATTTTCGAACTTAACCTGCGTAATATGAATATTCATCAGTTCCGCAAGTTTCAAGCCAAAAGGTAAAATGNAATCACGATGCTGGCTTTAGGAAGACTGGACGGGTACGACCTGCGTGAGCAACTGAAGATAAAAAAGTAAAAGAATATGACTGACTGCCTGACTGATTCAATGAATATGGAAACAAAGAATTATATAAATAAACAGAAATGTAAAAAAGCAAATAATAACAGGCAACAAGGCAGCAAAGCTGTCAAATGTACAGACAAAAAACAGAAAATAAAGATGCAAAAAAGGAAAAGGTAATTTTCTCAATTTTGATGCAATGATAAATAATTCTTATAATAGCACTGTCAGTCACCACTGAATTTTAATCATGCACAACAGGAAACATGTCAATAACAGGAGCGAACCCAGAGATATTTTCTGACAGTATTCGAAAGTATCTTTTTTTGATCAATCCTCCATTTTGATGGTCTTCCAACAGAAAAAAATAGATACCAGTCAATATAAACTTAATAACCTGACTGTCTTCCGGAAGACCCAGAAGATGGTCTCAATCCACCCCTTCAATAAGATTACAGTTTCAGGACCATGAAAGTTCAAATTCACATGATGAAAGTCTCAATATTTGAATAAATATGTAAAAAATAGGTCATTTTGTCAATTTTGATGCAAAAATAAATAATACTGTCAATCAACACTGAATTTTAATCATGAACAACAGATAACATGGTCAAAAACAGTAGTGACGGAGAGATATTTTCTGACAGTATTCCAAATTATTTTTGTTGATCCATCCTCCATTTTTGATGGTATTCCAACAGAAATAATAGATACCCGTCAATGTAAACATTAAAATCTGACCATCTCCCAGAAGGCCCAGAAGACAGTCTCATTCAGCCCCTGCAATAAGATTACAGTTTCAAGACCACAAGAGTTCAAATTCACATAATGGAAATCACAATATGTGAAAAATGATAACAGTGTATAAAATAATATTACATAATGTTTAAAGACATAAAAAGCCAACACAACTGCTCATGTGGAAACAAAGAAAATGCACAGCACTTCTGGTCGATGGGAGTTAAAAATCACATTTTGAAGATGCTGGTGTTTGAAAAATAATTTAAAAATTTTTTTTAAATAAAATGTAAAAAATTCCAATAAAACTGCTATTCAAACTTTTAATCTAGCTGTATTAACTTGATATGAATAACCCCACCAAGTTTGAGAAAAATAAGGCACTGTTATTCATCTATAGCATGTTGGCATAACACATTTTTTGTTGTAAACTTATTTGCAATATTAAACACCATTTATCTGCACAATTATCACCAAATCCTAATTAAATGTGACACAGTTAAGAGAGCTAAACCTACGGGACTTTATAGGGAAATCTCAACGAGTGTTTTATGTAATCTCATTTAATGGCCAATTGAAAATTAATGAGTAGGCAAGTGACTTTATAGACCTTAATTTAATTAGTGATCACCCAAGGGACAATTTTATAGACTAGACTGCCATCCATACAGTACCATTATATAGCACAAAGGTGTTGCATACATGCTGAAAAAAGTGAAAAAACAGCATTACTTCTCTAAAAATGACCCGATCATGCTGATTTTCGAACTTAACCTGCGTAATATGAATATTCATCAGCAAGTTTCAAGCCAAAAAGTAAAATGGTTTTCCACTTATCATGTTATCGGTGCTGCATATGCTGAAAAAGTGAAAAAACGGCGTAACTCCCCTAAAAATGGCCCAATCATGCTGATTTTCAAACTTGACCTGCTAATTATGAATATTCATCAGTTTTGTAAGTTTCAAGCCAAAAGGTAAAATGGTTTTCCACTTATTGTGTTATCGGTGCTGCATATATGCTGAAAAAAGTGAAAAAACAGCGTAACTCCCCTAAAAATGGCCCAATCATGCTGATTTTCAAACTTGACCTGCCAATTATGAATATTCATCAGTTTTGTAAGTTTCAAGCCAAAAAGTAAAATGATTTTCCACTTATTGTGTTATCGGTGCTGCATATATGCTGAAAAAAGTGAAAAAACAGCATAACTTCCCTAAAAATGACCCAATCATGCTGATTTTCGAACTCGACCTGCGTATTATGAATATTCATCAGTTCTGCAGGTTTCAAGGCAAAAGATTAAACGGTTCTTCACTTATCGTGTTATCGGTGAAAGTGCACGGCGACGACGACAGACTTTTACTCGGTGTTGCACCACACTTGCTAGCTGGGCAATGTACCATACTCCACTCTTCCCTAAAATCTCACTTGATGTTTTCCCTTTCATTAATACAACACTGTTCTCCATGAAGGTGTTAATTTGTGATTAAGAGAACTTTTTCAAGCATAAAACTTGCCATCAAAATAAACACCACTTGCAGAAAAGTCACCAACAATGTCATCCCTTGATATAGCAGCTTGGGAGAGAAGACGCTCCACACAAACAAGTGGTACCGTTGGAGTGTGACTAGAACTGTGTACACAGCATTGGGAATACTCTGACTTAAAATGAGTAGACATGCTAGCTGAAGAAAGCTGCAAATAATAAAATTTAAATATAGAACATCTTTTCCCTTAGGAGTTCTTTGGGAGTAATTTCTTGAAATCC